GCAAACCCGAGGCTGTGACACTGGCCAGTTCGGTTGTGGAGAAACGAGTACTATGCATTACCACCGATGATGGACAGTCGATGGAGTACTTCACGCCCATGCTGGATTCCGTGGCGCTAATATAGGAAAAACGGAAGAATGTCGACAAATTATGTATGCACAGACTACAACTACTGATAACACCACAGTGTGGATCAATGCAACCGAGAGACATTTGACCCTACAGAGCAGTATTTCAAACCAAGAGTTTATGTGAAACTGGTTAGATAGAGATTAGCATTCAGTAGTCGAGCGGAAAAGCGTAAAATCCCATAGCAAACTGAACCTGGTTGAGTCCTTGGGCCCTCCCAGATTGGTGTTTAGATACGGTTGGCTGTTTGCGGAAAAATGACACAAGTTGCTATCCCAGAGTATCGAACGTTTTGCCTCTTTTTGCTTACGCGATCTATCTGACAATAGAGTTCATGGATTCACAAGCGGGAGCCTCCAACTAATTCTTCAAGGCTACCCCCTTGAAATAGACGATGGATGACATCTTATCGGATGGCAAGTAACACTTACAATGGTTTGATTTATTGATAGACAGTGAATTGACAAAATTTGTTCCAAATTGTATCCAAAGATTTCGCCGCTGCATGGCCCACGATTGCTTATTTATCAGACCCGGTAGTCTATTCATCCACCGCCGAAGGCTATTTCAACATCTACTGCATTTGGACGCGCCGATTAACCTGTTGTTAGGCTACCAGACAGAGCCTACTCTACCGGTATTTTTGTCCTCTCAGTACAGACTTATTCGTCCCCTCTTGTGTCAGAAATGGTCAAAATAAAACTGAAACCTATCATTAGGGGGGCGTTATAGGATATAGCAAATGCAAGAGCTCACATTGAAGGAGGCAGACGAATCCGTAGCCGGCCATGCGGCGACATAAGGATTTGCGGATTCATGCGTGGAGGGAAGGCAAGACTTAGACGAGGTATAACGTTGATGATGAGTTCCTTGGAGAGGCGCGAGACGGGTTGTAATTTCCGATCATTCTGGTCACCGACAAATGAAACTAGTTGGCCGGTGAGGGACTCATCTTCGGTGAAAACGGTAAGCTGGAGGCGAACTTGGCCGGGCGATAAGCCAACTAGCACCATGCCTGACACCAAGTTCGTCTATAAAGAGAAGCAAAGTGCGTAATG